GTCCCCGCTGCCCTCCCGGGTGTCCGGCCCCACCGAACCCCGCAGAGCCCGACAACAGCCCTGGGGACCCGCTGCCCGGCCCCGGCCCCTCGGGGGCGTCCGAAATGGCAGTGCTGGGGGTACCGCGAAAGCACAGTCTGTGCTGAAATCCAGACGAACTAGCTGGTGGTTAACTGCTCAGGAATTAAACGAGGAGGAACATAGTTTGGGATCCTTAGAGGATAAAGTTTTATGTATCATCTAGAGATATTTTAACTGGCTTTTCTATGCTTTAATCACTCATTTCAGCGGAACATCAAATACTACCGGGGGTTTGGAGCGGATGGGTACGGGTATGTGTTATTTTTTTACCATGATTTCTGTTCTTATCAGACAAAAAGCAGACAAATTTTGCTTTTAAGGCTTGTAAAATAACATGTTTGAATTTTGCGGTTAAGCTTACCCAAAGTTTATATTTTAAAGGCACTATTTTATCAGTGATTGATAAAAGAGCAGTGCACCAGCTGTATTTAATCAGCCACTCTGTCTCTGAAGGCATGCATGTACTTTTGACTCCCTTTCCAGGGTGAAACCCTGGCCTCACAGAAATTAATAGCTAAACTTCCATCAACTTCACAGGGGCCAGGATTTCCCCCTGTGCATCATTAAGAACTGCCAGTTGATGGAGATCCTGCCAAGGGTTCATCTCCTCCAGCCGAATCAGCCAGGGGGCTCTGGAAGAGCTCCACAGCTTTATACAAGAAACTGGCATATTTTTTTCCCCATTTGCTAGAGTTCCCTTCAACTACATGAGCATTTCAGCAGAAACAACAAGCTAACTGGATCTGAGGGGAACTGTCATTACAGAGGATCTCTTGGGCCATTAAATCCAGTCCTTCCTAATACAGGCAGCCATGCCAGGTAATACCTTTATTAAACTTGACGAGTTCTACCTCAAATGAACTGGGTTTCCTCCTCCTCTGGTTGGATGGCCATGACCCTTATTCTGCTGCTATCTAAGAACCTCAATCTTTTTTCGGGATGCACATATTCATAGGCAATTAGACATGGATAAACAAGTCTTTGGCTGAAACAGATCTTTCTTTTGGCAGATCTTTCTTTCTAACTCTAATGTCCTAAGAGGTAGAAATCAGACTTTTTTAGTCTTTTTTATGATCATAATTTGTCCAGGTGTGGCCTTACCAGTATTCTGGATGGAAGTGCAAGTATTTTTCTGTCTCTACCAGAAATACTAGCATTTTGCAATCATTCTCTGATTGTTCAGTAAATCTGGATTTTTCTCCAGTATCAGTCCCATTTATCACTTCATATCAGAAATTCTTGATGTTAGCACATATGTGCATGACCTAAATTTCACCCCATTCCTATTACATCAATTCCTCTCTAGTCTTTCCAGTGTAGTATTTGGTCCTCCTACATTGATAGAGAACCTCCCTCCCATGCGTACACCATCAGCAGTTCCACTAGTACATTCTTACTTTTCCATGCCAAGTTTATTACTGAAAGCATTACATAAAATACTGAAAATATTGCATAAAATAACTCCCAATACTGATTTTTGTGGAACTAATCTGAAGTACACATAAACAGGCATTGAAGCTGGGTTTAGAATTCACGTGTCTCTGTACAGATAAATGCCCTAACAATAGACTGGAAAGTGACACGCTCTTCTAGACCCAGTGCAACTGTAACTCCTTTTTGTGAAGCAGAAAAGCTGTGATGAAAAGTAATGGGAATGATGCCTCCCTCCAGTGCCGAGATTAGCAGGCTCTCCCCTAGAAGGGTTTGTAGCTCTCAGGCACATAAGGTTCAAATACAACTTGGGCACCAGCCCTCTGGCCTTTTAAAAAAGGGATGACTGACTACCCCTGCCTTTTAAGGTCCTGCTGCGTTCTGAGCATGACTCTCCAAGGATATAAGGAAAGAAGTACCAAACATACCCGAAGCAGCACGTTTGGCACCTGTAGAAATTCAGTGCAAACAGCTGAGGAAACTTCAGGACGGAGCAACAGCTGCAGCGAGGGGTTACAGGTTCACAATTTTGGACTGCCGTGCTTAAATGCGACATAGTTCCCCTTTAGGACCTGCCCTAAATGACAAAATCTCCTCCCTGTGGCCTTAACACAGCTGCTTTGGAGGAGGTGCAGCCCCAGTGGCTGGGACAATCAGTAAGAAGCCTGCGGGAGTCTGGAAGTCATGCAGCCGATTGAGAGAGCAGAGTTTTACTCCTACATTGAGCAATGCTGTTGCTCTGCTACTAAGACACACTTGCAATACTTCGTGGCTTCCTTTGAGTTTCTAACAGTCTCCTGGGCCTTAACAGCGCAGCAAACAGTGACTCATTAATCTGGCAAAGCACAACTATTGTGGACTCCCTATTCAATTAGTTTTTCTTGCCTTTTCCCTAACCCTCCACTGAATTTTCTTTTATTTCATCCCTAAACCCACACTCGGACACAACATGCCGGTTGATTGCATTTGCTGAAATTTTCAGAAAGCACTCTTTCAAGACGGCTAAAATGTTGCAAATTGTCCTTATCATGTCATGCAGGGTATGTATTTTGGGATATGGAATGCAGCCCTTAACAAAGCCAGTTAAACCAGAGAACCAAATAATTTCACATAAAATGCTGTAGCTCCCCTCTCATTAAAGCAGTTTACAGCACAAGGGAGCTCAGCCCTCGTGGTTGATAGCTATGCAAACCACCCACTCTGTGTGTAATCTGGCTC